ATTATACATTTATATATATATATATTTATTATTTTTATTATATTGTCCTTTCACCCATGCCTGGCTAATAATACAGAAGTTACAATGATGCGGCTCACGTGCACTGATGTTACCATATCAAATAACATAAAACTGACCTTCAGTCTGTACAAAGTAACTTGTCTTGGCTGTGTTTTAGTAGACTAGTATTTTGTAAAATACAGTCACATTTCTATTTTAATACATTATATATGTATATAGATTATTGCTATTTAGAAATAAGTTCTTAAACTTACTTTTCTTAAAACATAGAACAGTAAATAAAGAAGTAAAGCAAACAATTATATATTCTAGTTACAACCTTAGTACTTGGCTGCTGATGCTTGGTTGCTAAGCCTTCATAAATTTTGCACATGGAGGATATGAAACAAAATATTTTTTTAGGTTTTATATATACATTTGAATAATTAAAAAATCATAAATTACTACACCAATAAAATATAATTCCACTGTAATTTATCAAGCTTAGTAATTAAAATGTATTTTACTCTAAAAAAAATATGAAATTTCGAGCTGAGTAAAGACACAACCTACCTCATTGAAATCTTGGATCAAAAGAAAAAAAATGGCACTAGCCATGTTAGAAAGGATGAGAAAACCACTAGGGGGGACATTTTGGGTTTCTGATTGGTTATATATGTCATATATTGAAGCAAGTGTATATATGGAAGCATTTCCAAAAATGGGAAGAGGTGGGTAGGGTGCCACAGTGTTTGGTTTATTACATGAGCAGTATCTTACCAAATAGAAAAGATAAGACCTTATTTTATATTCTAGCTTGTCACTATGTGTGATTTGAGTTTCTAATTCGTTTGAAACTATAGACTTAGTATTTTGACTTCACAAACATTTAATCTGAACCAGTGCTGCATTCCACATACCACATAAAACACAAAAATCAATATTTATCTGTTTTTTTTAATATTTACTTTTAAATTAAGAAATTGAATAATATATAGTTCTAAAATTTGAATTATAACCAACAGTTTGATAATGAACTTGTGGAATTGAATTCACGAAATAGTACTTCAATAAACAAACAAGATGACATGGCCTTTCACCTATAACCCGTCTCGAAAGGGTTAAAAGTACAAAATTTTATGCTCTGCCAAAAAGTTACTGCTGCTCCAAGCAGGAATCCATAACAAGAAAAACACTGGAGCACAGTGCATAATAAAGGCATTGCCCCATTGGACATGTATGTCCTGGCTGTAAGCACATCCAAAATAATTGAGTTTTTTTTTAACACTTTAAGGTTGTGTCAGTTTTATTACTTGTGAATACAACCTATAAATCTTACAGCCTGGGTTGCAGGCAACTTGATCGCATGCAATGATCAAAGAAAGCTACTGCTTCCGAATTGTACATACTGTCAATATTCCTTTGAATATGCACAGCACACAACCATAGGAGGTTAACAAAACTATTATCAGCATCAATAATGACCTTCAGTAAGGATTTAGCATGTTACAAGCATGGAATGTTAACTTAGGATAAGATAAACAACCATGTACCAAATGACAGAAAAGTGTCCAGATCTACAGTAACAAGAAGACTCAATGAGAATGGAATATTTGGTTGTGTAGCAGTTAAAAAAACCTTTACTTTGATTTCCAAATATTGTAAAGAGACTGCTAAAAAGTACAAAAACTGGACTGTTGATGATTGGAAAAGGGTATTATGGATGGACGAGTCCAATTTTGAAATATGGTTCATAGCATAGGTTGTAAATCCAGAAGAAGAAAGGTGAAAGAAATCTCAATGCATAGCACCTACCATGAAGCATGAGGGAGGCAGTGTGATGGATTGGGGGTGTTTTTTTGCTGAAGCGACAAGAGATATTTGCAAAATAGATGGAATAATGGACCAGCACAAGTACCATCACATACTGATCCATCATGGTATACCCAGTGGTTTGCGTATTATAGGACTTTGGTTCATTATACCAGATTAATGAAATCTCAGTTGTATGTGTTTAATTACACTATACAATATACTGCTAATTCAAAAGGTAACTGATCCAGTAGGGCCTGGGGTGCTACATTGCTACAGGCCAAACTGCAATTTCTACTGGTTCTAGGCCTGTGGGCTATTGTTAATGTCAAACTCTGTTAGATCAAGAAGCAATAGTAAAGACAAGTAGGACAAGAAAGACGTGGGACAAATGGAGACACATGAAGTAAAATAACCAAACAGAACATTGTGATATATATATACAGATAAAAAAAATAAAAAGATAGAATACCCCATATATATAGATTCACAACCATATTACACAGAAAAGGAGGAAGTACCTGGCCCTTAACAGGAAAAGAGCTAGAAACAAAGGCCGGAAGTGGAAGAGTTGGCCAAAATCTTCCAGGTGAGGCAGACTCCACAGAAGGCAAAGAAGCAAAATGACTAGGGACCTGAACTGGAGAAGAAATAAGCAGAAGAAAACCAACCACTAGATATATGAAAGTGGAAACCTCACTAGTTAACTTGTTGGTATATCAGTGTGTGAAATCTGAGGCATGTCACATGCAGATGTGTGCACTACTGAGCTAAAAAGATTAAGAGCTGAATGTCAGGTCCACAAACAACTAAAGTGCCTCCAGCTGCCATTGAATCAGTTGGGGAAAATGCCTGAAAAGGAAAGTCTTTGCCTTGGGACTTTTTTTGTTGTTGTTGTTCCTTAAATATATATATATATAATATATAGATATATTATTTGGTACACATTGAAAGTAGCCTAAAGCAGCTAGAGAAAAAAAAGTTGCAAACAGGGGGATGGAACTGTAACAAAGACAAAATCAAAAGAAAAGCAGTCTGTTAAGATGACTCGAAACTCAAAAAGCACAGGAAAACATGACTAAACACAGGCAGAGCCAAGGAAAGAATGCTAGTGCTCTTGGGGTTTATCACACATGGAGGTCATAACACCCTTCTATTGGCAGAGAGCTACAGCATTGTCATACACTAGCTTAATACATGTAGACCCGTGTAGAGGTGGCGGTATAGAAGAGTCTATGGCAGTTACATGCAAGGTAATAGTTCTTTGTGATGTGGGAGGTAAGTAGCATTTTTGAATGGATTTTTTGGTACAGAACACTTGCCAAATTTCATGAAAATACACTTAGTACATTAAGTTATAATATGTACACTGTTACCTGTTGATTACAGTGGTTGCAAGGTCAGTCATTTTGACCAACCATGTTTACATAGTTAACCCTTTCGCAATGGGCTCGTTATTAAATGCACGAGTTTGTACATGCATTTGCACACGTTACGTTTTTATACAATAGCTTTTAATACAGTACGTGCATCTTCACAAAATTTGGTATACTTTTAGTAAAGATTACAAGTCTTTTGTACACAAAAAATCAAAATTTTTAATGAAATATTTTTAGTAGATTTGTTTGTGAAAACACAGAGTTTGTTTCATTACTAATCCAAGTGCGAAGTGATTTTCATGTTATGATTAAAAAACTATTCTTCATCGCAAAAATCTCAAATATTATTTGAGTAATCTCTAAAACCTCCTAAATACATTTCAAACATTTGTTTCCAGTAAAACTTTATAATTTGTCAGTTAATTTCTCTACCCTAACTATACAGGGTCTGTCAATTTGACTGACTTCGTAACCACATAAAAAAATTAGGAAATAAATATAAATTATGATTTTTTACTTTCTAGAATGGCTACAAATTATAACATGAAAACACAAATGTTTCATCTAAATAGCTTAAATCTCATAACATTATATACAAGCTGAATTTGGGTCTAAACAAATATGAAATCTTGAGCTGACTAAAGACTCAACTTACCAGCTTGAAATTTTGTATTGAAAGAAAGAGTTGATGTTATAATACTTCAAAATGGCCAAGAAAGCCACTAGGGGGACATTCTGAGTTTTTAATTGGTTATTCACATGTCACAGACAGAAGTAAATGTACATAAGGAAATGTTTCCAAAAATGGAAAGAGGTGGGTAGGGCCACTGTGTGTGTTTCAGTACATGAGCAATATCTCAGCAAATAGAAAAGATAGGAGGTTCTTATTTTATATTCTAGCTTGTTAAACACAGTTTGAGTTCCTAATTTATACGAAACTATAGACTTTCTATTTGGACATCACAAACATAATTTGAACCAGTGCTGCATTCAACACACCACGTGACACACAAAAATCTATATTTAGCTGTGTTCTTTTAATATCTACTTTTAAATTGTTAAGAAATTAACTAATGTATAATATTAAAATCTGAAATATAATCTACAATTTGATACTAAATTTGTTGACATAAATTCATAAAATAGTAGTTCAAAAAATTTTGAATGCAGGTCAACAAACACAATGACATGGTGTTTGACCTGTGACAGTAGGGTTAATAAGTTAGTAAATACCACTAATCAACCAGTTCTAAGTCAGTAAAAGAACATGTCATACTTGTTTTAAGTAGAGTTACAGAAATGGTCAAAATAGTAAATTCCAAACATTTAGTCTTTCTATAATACAATATAATACTTTTTAAGGACATAAATCCTGCTAAAGTAAAGTATGGATTTATTTATTTTACCTTTTCTATAAAGTGAGTATGCTAGGACATTCTTATAGAAACAAAACAGTCCGTTGTTGTCAGTATATTATGTTAAGGAGAAATTTTAAAGCACACAAGTGTGGTAGTGCCATATCCTCTAATAGAAAGGCTCATAGGTACAATTAGTTAACATTTAGTGGCCATGACAGACATCAAAATAACCTAAGCCTAAAATGGTTTACAAATTCTGATAACAAGCTAGTCCATTAATAATAACTAGCAGAGACCCTCAAAACATTTGTGGTCCAATTAGTATGTATATTGCAACAGTACTTCTTTAAATCCAAGATTTCTAGAATAGTACAAATGAATAGTAATTGTACACACCAGAATGTGCAAGTCCACTTGTATATGGGCAGTAATTTAATAAACTTTAACTAATATTAGACCTAAGTTAAATAAAGAGATAAATTAACACTGTAATCTGTGTACATTTTTTTTACTTTAGTTTAGTTAGGAGGCAGCTTGATTGTTGTCAAGTGCATAATGAGCCTGCACAGGTTTTCTTAGGTAAAATTCTTACTACACATTCTTATAATGCATACTGAAAAGCAGAATTATAGTACAATGATAACTTTAGTTTATTTATCTGGTTCCAAACTGAATGTTAATTTCAACCTATGATGAGGCTTTGAAAAAAGTGTACCCTATAATTGAATAATAAATTATATCTTACAAGTATTTGGTAGATTGGTACTATACATAGTACTAATAATAATGTGTTAGTGATTACTGCTATAGTGTTGGAATAAATTTCATGCCAGTGTCTTTACACCTAGATCAATTACCTACATTGATACTGGAAATGAAGAACAAAGCAAGAAAGTAATTAGTTATACTTATCACAAGTCTTTCAAATTAGACCTATGATATTTTTAAACACCATATTCCCTTAGGGATTTTTACAAATTAAAGAGTGTACATTAATACTATTTTGACCATATTATATTTATCATATTCACTAGTAACAATGTGTTCCACTCAATCCATAGCTCTTCAAGCCAGCTAGAACACAATAGTGGTTGGAACACTATTTATATAAGCCACTTGTTACAACAACTTTTAAGGTGTGAACTATTTTTATAAGCTGGTGAAACATGATAATAATTAATTATACTTATCTTTAGATATTACAAGTAGGCCTATTATATTTTTAAACACTTACATTCTATATCTTGTCACTTAGGGATTTTCATGAATTAGAAGAGAGTAACAAAATATTTTTACAATTGCACCATATCTTCCACAAAAGACTTATGAGTATAAACAATGATCCATATTTGTGTTCATAGGGAAAATAATTTTTTTTTAACCATAACAAACACTTATTATAAACCTTTTTCACTGTATATCTCACCTTATTTGTGTGTTGTTTTTAAGTGTACAGGACGACCTTGATAAACTAACAGGCTCCTTCTCGTCTTTCAATACCATGTTATGAAATCAGTGTTTAAGTTTTCTTATAAATATTTCTAAAATGTGATTAAAATATGAAAAGTTTTTCTATTCAAATAATACAGCCATTAGGCTAGAAATACCTAATGAGATACAAAAACTGAGAAAGACTTTGTATCTTAAATTCCATTTTTAAATTAATTTTTTTTTAAAGTTACATAAAAATAATAACAAATTGGCTTTGAAAGGCAAAGCACAGAAATATAAAACTCACAAATTTCCTGTTAACTTTTCCTGTTTACACTTAGTTAAAAAAAAAAGCAACGTCGAAACATGTAGAGCCGTCAACAACTTTTTGAAGGCCATAGACAGGCCTAAATAAAATGTTTTTTTTTTATTGTGTACCAGTTTAACGTTGAATATTATTTATGATTTTTTTACAGATTTTCATTTCCTACAAACATTATACCATACTGACTAATAACAACTAAGCTCCACATTTTAACAATCCAAGACAAAACAATACATAGTCTCGGTAAGTTACTTTATTTGCATCAAAATAATAGTTATAAAACTAAAATGATTAAAAGTTGGCCAATTTTACAACTAACAAACAATCCAATCATAATCTTTACTAAATACTCAGCAAGAATTTTTCCAAGTATATGTGTATAAAGTTTTATTCTCCTTATCTAAGAAGGGATACTGAATTATTGAAGAGGGTTCAGAAAAAGCATATTATGATGTTCCTCAATGTGGGGGGGGGGGGATTATTTTATAAAGATAAGCTAAGATCTATTATTTTCTCTTGAGAAAAGAAGGGTAAAAGTTAATTTCTGATTTTTTTTGTGATATATTCTGAAGATAACATCTATATGGAACACAAGTTTAACATTTAAAAAAAAGGCTCCAGCTAAGACTTTGTTTTTCTTACAGGATAACCGACTTAAAGAACGAGTTACCATTGGTTGTTATGAAGGTTAGCACTTTACAGGAATTTAAGAGAGGAACAGGTGACTTCCTAAAAAATAAAGGGTGAATGCCTATGGACAGCCTTGAAAGACTGAACAGAGCACAGCCATCTACAGGTTGATTACAACTACTTGTGAATACTACTAAGGTTGATGAGCAGCATATCAACATAACTTCATAATTTTATACACAACATACCATGAAATACATCATGTTTTGTGGGCTTTCCTGGCTTTGTTGAGATTCACAGATTATGGGAGCCACAGCATACAGGAAATACATTTCCTGCCATAGCACCAGCCATTACCAAACTGCAAATTACTCCGATCTATTTTCTTACAGATTTCTTGGTGTATTTGCATAAAGTTATGAAATAACATCAACATGCTACTTACCAGCCTTGGTATTACTAATGGGCAGTTGAAAATGACCCACATACAGTTACCACTAGGAGACAAACCGTACCTCATTGACATAGGTTATTCAAAGAAGTGTGTTAGTGGTGATGACATAATGTTAGTGAGGGCCCAATTCAAAAACAACCAGTAACACTAAATTGTAACTGCGACAACATCCAACAAAGTGAATAACATTTCTATTTGAAAGTTGAATACACTTTTCTAGTAATAAGAGTGTATCCAGTTACTGACATTGTTAATCACTTAATGTTACTTTTTATTGCTAGTTCATTTTGAACGGACCAATACTGGGCAATAGCATAACATATGTTAACTAATACTAATAATGGTACTGTGAATTTATGAAGTATTCAAGTAATACCACTTTACCAGGCTGTGATATTTCTTATTAACCTAAGTACTTAATCATTTAAAAATTAAATGTAAATTGTAATAATGTGACTAAAGTAAATGTAATGGTATTATTGGTATCAATTGACAATGGTTTTATATTCTATTTAATTTTCAAAAATCAAACTAATAATAATATGTAAATATTAGTATGTAATTAAGATGTTCTATAATTAATTTTAGCGCTCACCTTCTATTTATATAGTCTCTATATTTATCTCTAAAACACAAACTAGCAATGCTTCCGATAACTTAAATATCTTTCTACAACTTCTGGCGACAAAATGGCATAAATATCATTACACAATGCATGACGTCACCAGTATTGAAATTTACATCAGGGCCCACTATGTAATTTACAATATTTATGTTTAATTCATTTCTATAATATTCAACAATATTACATGTAAAACATTTATCTAATATTGGCGTATTCAGTAATTGCTATTTCACTATGCAATTATGAAAAATAATTAATACGAATATCTAATTAGAAAATAACACCAAAAATATATTCTCTTTGTTTGTAGTTAAGCGCAAAATTACACAATGGGCTTTTTATGCTCTTCTCACCACGAGTATCGTCTGTAGACATGCCGCTGTGCCACTGGGGGGGGGGGGAATATATATATATTTATATATAATAAGAAATTACGAAAACGATAGAATGGTCGCTTTTTTTAACTAACGCTACCCAAAGAGCACAAATTTTAACTTCCATAATATTCCCTTATCACAAGTGTTCTTTATGCAGAGATTACAACCAGTTAACTCAAAACTTAGGACTGCCTTGTTTTTGTATTTGTGAAATACAATAATATGACTTTTACGAAAGTTAATAGGACAAAAACTATAATTCACAGGAACACGGTTTTCCTTATTTTGTGTGTCAAGGTCGTCATGAGAACGAAGCTGAGCATTCTGACGAGTAAACAAATTAGATTCTCTTCATTCATTCTGCCCGGCATGGCCAGGTGGTTAGGACGCTCGACTCGCAATCTGCGGGTCGCGGGTTCCCATCCCACCAAACATGCTCGCCCTTTCAGCCGTGGGGGCGTTATAATGTGACGGTCAATCCCACTATTCGTT